GAACTGGGCATCTTCCCTTAATGATGTCTTATTCACACACTGTAAAAAAAAAAAGTAGTTTGTGCTTTATTTATTTACTCACATCCTGCAGGTCATCGTGGGACCTGAAACTCAGCATGTGACAATTCTCCGACAAAGCGAAAGAATGCTTTGAATGGACGTATGAATCTTTGGCTCAGACTCTGCCGGGGGAGGATGGACACCTTGAAGTTATCTGCTTCACGTCGGATGAGACGGTCACAAACAGGAAGTGAGGGAGGAAGTCAGCTGAAGGATGAAGGAATGGGATGTGAGGATGCGGCCGGTTTGTTTTGGCCGGTGGCTCAGGGGCTGTCTTAAGGTTCCGTCCGGAAGCTTTGTTTCCTTTCTGAAGTTTCTTCTCATGTGAGCTTAATCCATTCAACAGAGATATTATTAATAAAAGGGCTGGTCAACCCATTAAGTGACACAGGCGGTCGCCTAGGGCACCATCTTCTGAGGGGGCACCGACTTAGCAAGTGAATTTCACTTTGACTTGGACAGGGGGCGCCGGCAGTGAAACTTGCCTAGGGCACCACATGAGCTTCCACCAGCATTGTTTGTTATTATTATTATTATTAATTACATTTATACAGTGCTATTCAAAACGCAAAAACACTTACAATACTCAAGAACAAAACCAGCCGATGGAGTAATTGAACACAGAAACAGTTGCAACAAGCTCACAGTGATGAGCAATACAGTAACGAGGATTACAAGTAGTAGATAGATGAAGCGAGATGAGTGGGGAGGGCATGGAGGGATCAGAGTGGAGGGAAGCAAAGGGCTGCGGAGAACAGGAAGGTTTTTAGGGGAGATTTCAGTCACCAGAATGCAAACTGCTGGCAGGCCGTTCAGGTAAGATCAGCGATGGGTGACACTGGGAGTTTGGTTCAGCCTTAAGCCCGGGGGAACATCAGGACAACAACTGTAGTCAGCACCGCTGGTGGGCTGTGCAAACATGCAAATCACGAGATGGAAACACACGGTAAGGACACTAACCTACCCATCTACCAACTAGTCAGCACAGATCCCCGATCACTTACCAGGGACTGTTTATTTACGACACAGGTGGGGGGCCGTGTTGCGTCATCCAATGACGTGTGGAGCAGGAAGAAACACAACAGCGTGACATCAGACCCAGTACCGGCCCATTTGGACATGGACGAAAGCCGTGCTGTACTCCAAGGGAGTGTTTCCGCACAGGGGGACATTCGCATGACCTCCAGCAGCCTGGATTTCCTCCTGCCCTTATCTGATCTCATAACAATGACTCCAGTTCTGGGCCTAAGAGCAGCTGGACGCCCTCTGCTCCCCCCGCTGAATGGTATGACCCGGCCCCAGGTGTCTCAGCTCCAGTGCCAAACTTGCGAATTCCTTGGAAGAATGAACCTTTGGCACTGACATAACAAGATGCTTTAGCATCACCTGTTTGATACAATGCAATACGTATGACCTATTCAATTTGAGATACAAAACACCAAAACGTGTGGTACATTCATCGCCCGCATGCCTCCTTTCACATTTCAGCAGTTGCTGCTATCTTGGATTTTACTCAATTCTGGATTCTCACGGTCAAGGCTCCTGTTCAGTGTAACATTTCACCATCATTTTCTCGCCGCATATTTTATAGTTGCATCCAGTGTTTTCCACACAGAAATAAATGTGGCCGCCCTATAAACAAAAAATATGACAGGCAGGAAAATATTTTCAAATGTCAATTTATTTACATGAACATAAACTGCAACATGTGGAAGTACATTTCAACAGCGACTAACCCTGTACATGAAAACAAGAAACCACGTCAAAAAATATAATAAAAAAATAAGACAGTCAAGAGATAATGAATTTCAAATATTTAACACAAAATTGATCTCAATCTTCCAGGATCACCCTCTTTACAGACATGTTTCACATATGGGCATCTATATTAACCGTTATAGAGTATCTGAATGGCAGTGAATATAGTCAACATTTAGCTGGTCAGGTCGGCAAAAGGGGCAGTGACATAGTCACCTGGGCTTGGCTCCGCCCCTCTGGGTGAGATTTCTGGGCATCTAATCCTCAGAGGTAACAAGAAAAGCTTTTAAGACAAAGAAAGCTCGAAGAAAAATAGTAAATTTAGGCTACACGTGAGAAGCATTTACATGAAACGATACATTAACATTCATCCTGAAGGTGTTTGCAACATTGCATGCAGAAATGAGCGTATGCACAACGTTCGGATGCATAAAGTGCCAACATCACAGAGGGGACAGAGCAGAACAGAGTCACACAGGTGTCAGCCGATAGCAAGTGCCAGGCTATACCATGCTAGGGCTAACGGGAGCGAAAGGGGAATGTGGGTGGACGGTGTCTCTCGCCCCACTTTACCTCCGACAGACAGATTACCCGACACTCCATGACACCTGAGAAGCAACTCCATAACACCTGACAGGTAACTGCTTAACGGATTAGCCAGCCAATCCAGGGATACAGCATTTCACCTAAGTACCATGTCTTGGAAAATTACAAACAAAATATTATTAGCATTTTTATTGTCATAATCATTATCAGCTCCAAGTTTATGTACAGAATGAGTTCTATCTGAAAGTGATTGTTATGTAGTATGTACAGTGGAGTCTCTATGGCCCCGTTTACACTGTCTGTTAAATGCGACCTAATTCCGATTTTTTGCTCATATGTGACACAGATCGGATCTGTTCTGTGACAGTGTAAATGGGAAAAAAAATGCATGCATTCGGATATTTCGAGATCGGTTTCAGGCCTCATTCATATGTAGAAATACATCAGATATAAATCAGATATGGGCCAATGCAACTGTAATGTAAACAGGCAGATCGGATTTTCTGAGGCATTGCGTTCTGTACGTCATTAAACTGCGTACGTAAAGCGTACGTGTGGAAGCGTAACATTCAAGAAACACACGAAACATGGAGGAGGAAAGTGTAGGGCAGTGGTCAACGCCTGAAATAGCCTACCTTCTCACCCTGTGGGGAGAAGAATCCGTTCAGGATAAAATTAAAGGTTCCTACAGAAACAAATCTGTTTTCGAGGATATTTCGGCTGCAATGATGGCCCTCCTCCTCCTTCGCCTCAAAATCGTGATGTTGTTCGGCGAACTTCGCATACATCGCAAAGCTATCATAAAACAAATTTCGTGTTCGTCCGTCTTGGCTACGGTGTCGTGCAAAAACCCCCGTTGAGCATGCGTGAAATTATAGCAAGTGTAAACACACGAATCGGATATGGGTCACAATTAAAAAGACCGTGTAAACAGACGGTCCAAAAAATCGGATATAGGCAACAAATCAGAATTAGGCATCAAGACCTGCAATGTAAACGGGGCCTATGAGATGATGTCATGTGGGCCCTGTTATCGCAGGCTAACTTGGGAGTCACTCTGAGTAAGCGACAGGCCAGAGCTCTGCACTGATTGCCGTTTGCCTGCCAGCTGCGCTCACAATGACGGCACGGAGGGAAGTTAGGCCAACAGCTGAGGCCTGGAAGTGGGATTTCCTGTATAGGAAGTGAATGAAAACAGAGGAGCCTGAAGATCCTCAGCCGGATCTATGTTCATGTTCATGTTGAAACCAGGCCCACAACTCAAGAATATCAGCAGGTTCTAAATACAACTAGAAACCAAGCCCATAGCTGAAGAACTTTAGCAGGTTCTAAAGTCACCTAGAGACCAGGCCTACAGCTGAAGCTAGTTCTAAATACACCTACAGACCAGGCCTACAGCTGAACAACCTCAGCACGTTCTAAATACACCTAGAGATTAAGCCCACAGCTGCATATGAGCAGGTTCTAACCCTACTTATAGACCTGGCCCACAGCTGAAGAAACCCAAGAAGACTTGTTCTTTTGAAAATGTCCTTGCAGTTTTAAAAGCTCTGCGTAGAAATCATTTTGTTACTGAAGCAGATTGTCTGTCGTACCTCAGAAGCTGCCTCACATATAGTATAAAAGAATGTAAACAACAAAAAAAAGCTATTTATCGTCAACAATAGCACAGCTGGATGATTGACCTCAAGCCATATTGCCCAGGGATGGGTCACTTTTATGAGTCTTGGCCAAAGGAGATTTCACCTGTTTCATCCTTCACACTCAATGTTTCACTTATGGAATAATACTGAAGACTGGGAGACGCTCTAGACTGTTAATTACTCTGATGAGTTTTTTCTCCGTGTACAAGGAGAAAAAAATCTCATGTGGCCCAAAGAGAAATGAAACTTATACTACAAACCACTACAACATGGATGTTTGTTTTTGCTACTGATCTAAAAATAGACCCTAACACGTGAATCTATATTGCACCTGCAGTTCGAAACAATCTTTCATACGAATTAACAGTATTGCCCCATAAAGAGACATCAATATCTAACAGCACACTGAAGATGTACAGCTTCACATGGACCAACATGCCTGAACAGCAGCTGAATTTAGCAAGACGAGGTGATAGCTATTTACAAGACAATATTCTGCAGTTGTATGGTTCGATACGGGACAGCGCACTGAAGCTGTATAATGTTTACTTGAGAACAGCACACCTAGCCGAACAGCACACGGAAGCTTCACAACCATGCCAGACTGCATAGATCCACATGAACAAGAGTCTGTAGCAAGGTGACGGTAGTAATGAACTCAGCAGCACGTGAGGAAAGATACTGTCGAGGCCCCCGGTAGGAGACGAGAAATATCACTACTGTCTGATACGGTCTCGTTACAGGTACACCCAGGGACGGATTATGGGTTGTGTGGGCCCCTGGGCAAAACGTTCGCGAGGGCCCCCCCCCCCCCCCCCACCACCACCAGCACCACCACCACAACCACCACAATTCAAGGGCCCTTGGCAGCCAAACGCCCTCCCTCCATGTTTCCATCAGTGGCCCTATAGGGTCAGGGGCCCTTGTAGGCAGAGGATCAAAGAATGTAGTCCCTCTAAAATAGACAAACGAAAATACATTGTTGATAAGCGTTGTAAATTGTTTTGGGCTAGGGGCCCCACGGGCCCCCTACACCCAAAGGGCCCCTGGGCAGCGGCCCCGCTGGCCCGGTCCGTAATCCGTCCCTGGGTACACCTATGTGTCTGTGTGCCTGTGTATGAGAAAGTCAGTGTTTTTAACACATAGGAGCTCTGTAGACCATAAGGAAACCAGCACAGATCACTGGGGGAAGGCACTTGCAGGACATCCCCAACTTCTGGGCCTTCATGCCCTATGTGGGTAGGGTGCCTCCTCTGGGAAGACTTCGTCGGTCACAAGCAGTGGCTGTGTGGATGCCGTGCTGCTGCCCACGGAGTTCAGCCGCAGGAAGTGGCCGTTGGGGTTCTCCCGCGTTGCCAGCCGGGAACTGAAATTCAGATACATCTGGTAGAAATGAAAATAGATGGTGGCCAATGAGAATTCAATGCTACACGAAGCAGGCAAACATCTGAGAACATCTGAGAACAGTGAAAACAAAAGACTGGCCTCTAGCAGTTTGTCCCTTAGTACCTAGACTGCACTGACATCAGCCCCCTCCATACAGACTGCAGTGACACCAGGTCCGACTGCCAAGACTGCACTGACACCATCCCCTGCCATACAAACTGCAACAACACCAGCCTCCACCACCTAGACCGCACAAACACCAGCCCCTACCACATAGACTGCACTGACACCAGCTCCACCACCTAGACTGCATTGACATAAGCTCCTTCCAAGACTTAAACATCATACCTACTATCACCACAGGTTTTTGTACCAAATAGAACAAGATCAGCTCTTACAACCTAAAATGCTACATCATTATTACTGCTAATACTGCCATTATTCTCCCACTGAGTTCATCCAATTCAGATTTGTAAGCAGTTCAATTTATTTGTTACTGATTATATTTAGATTACAGAAGAGATTTACATAATGTCACAGGTAAAAGTGACATCAGTCCCTAAACTTCCTGCAGATCTCATGTGTTTGTCTGTCCTTCAGCACCTTCTCCCATGGGAAACCTGCCAGTATCTACAGGACTGAACGGCTCCCCACAGCCTGATCCATTCCTCTGCTTTAGCTCACAGACAGGGACCAGCTGGAGACGTTGCTATCTCTGGAATGCACAGATAGTGTCTGTGATGCTGAAATGCATGTTCCTTGCCGAGCCGAAATCAGTGAATTAATTAATTAATCACATATACTTTGCTCCACCAACATAAGAAATCTCATGTTTTGTTTTTTTTTTACAAAAAAGATCTACATTTTTACACAAAACTAGTCCTACTATCCGAGAATGTCTAGCGTTTACCAAAGGTAAACAGTAATAGCCCTGGATCACCAGTACCTGGGCAATCTGCATGAATATGACATGTTTGAGCAACTACCAAAAGCATCAGAGTGGATGTGACCTGGCCTGACCTGGATCAATGGCTTTCAAGCCGTTCTGCTGTAGGATACATGGACTCCACAGCAGCACAAATGACTGATGATCTGAAACGGTACACACTGGACAGCACACCAGGATACGTACACGCTTCGTGCTATCGGACAGCTGCTCTTCAATCTTGTCCACGATCTTCCCAAACGATGGTCTCTTGAAGGGGTCAGCGTCCCAGCATGAGGTCATTATATCATACCTGCAAGGATCGGAGAGCACGGGGTCACCATGCGCCTCCCCATGTGGGAGAAGTCAAATGACAGGCATCCTTCACTTTCCACTTGAGCTCAGTAAGATTAATCAGCTCCACAGCTGATCACTCACAGTTACCAGAGTGACAGTAACCAGGGTAACTGTGTAGGGGGTTATAACCCATTTTTACAATAACACACATGCATACACACTGAGAAAAAGCACAGCAATGGTAGAAACATGTTGACACAGACGAGACCAAAAATTCAGATAGTGTATTCGAGAGATACCATGGTAAGACAGGGGAAAGGGATTATTCGAAAGGACTACTGCACCATGAAGGCAAATTAAAAGATTTACAAAGGCACGAAAACCTCAAACACTGTAGGATTATAAAACATAATCTGGTTGTAATCTATTTAAAGCAGTGACAAACTAAAGAAAGAAGACCGGCTAGATTAATGACGCACGTCAACTAGCAGTAAAACTGAACAGCTAACTCTAGGAAGCAATTTCTATATCTAACCATCAATCAATATTAACAGAAAATGTGTAATCGAAACCATTCTTTACGAAGGTCTGACTGCTGACATACTGACAGGTTGTTTTCAAAATGGTTTCGGTACTGGTATGAGATATTCCTTATGGTGACATCCATGATCCAAATACGTTTTTTATTAGGTCATTTTTTAAACAAATGCATATCTGCACGAACCACAAAGCCCAAATGTGTCTGATCAAAATAAAAAAGATCAGACAAGTGTAAGAAAATATAAAGGATATGTAAATGAACTGAAAGTATATAGGGGAGAGTGACCTCATTCAGTCCTCTACCTAGAGCGGAAAGCAAGACTCAGAAATCTCCTCCCCCTGTAAAACTGGAGTTAAGGTCAAATAAAGGAGCTTTTAGGATATGATCCATGTCTGATATGTACTTCTCGTATTCATGCTTTGGCTATTCCATATGTTGTGTCAGGGTCTCAGTTTGGTCAATGTCGCTCACTCACATTTTCCTGGGGGCAAATTCTGGGTCATTCATCCTGTAACCTTCCTTGATCATCTTGTAGAACTTGGAGTCCACGGGCATCCCGGGGTAAGGGCTACTTCCTGTAAGGAAACACGGATGACTCAGCGGCGCGACAGCTAAACATGGCCACCGCATCATGGAGGGTTCTGGGAAGTCCAGCCTTACCCAGAGAGAAGATCTCCCACAGCAGGATGCCATAGGACCAGACGTCACTCTCAAACGTGTAAACGCACTCGAAGATGCTCTCTGGCGACATCCACTTCACTGGGAGTCGAGCCTGCAGGAGAGAAGCCATCATAATTGGCTAACTCCTGTCAGCTGACAGGAAGCACGACTGGAGCCTCTCTGACTCCACTAAGTCTGACTTTTTACTGAAATACTTAAGGATTTACTGGAAGTATTTAGTGTCTATCCTTAAAATAATGGACGTTTCCCTATTACAAGCCCTTTTTCTGACTCTTTGGGTCACTGCAGTAGAAACCAAACTTTGAGCTACATGAACCAAACCACAGACACGACTGCAACCTCCAAAAAACATTCCTTCTGGAATTCATATTTACATTTCCATACTATACTTGGAAAAATGCACAGAAATGCTTTGAGTTAGAGTTGTAAGCCATATCCCACCTTTCTCTGAACATATTCCCATTCTCTTGTATTTTCTAAATGGTCTCTAAGTTGCCCGTAGCATCCGATAGTATCTGTGTGAGTGTGTGTGCTCTGCCATGGACTGACATCTTATCCAGGATGTATCCCAGCTCTGAGATAAGCTTCATGTGACCCTGGTTAGAAGATGGATGGATGAATGGATGGATAATACTTTGAGAAAAAAAAAACATACTAATATGTCACCATTGCTACCAGTGAAATACAGAGTCTCACAGGGACCCGTGTTGGGGCCAGTATGTCTCCCTTAACACGTTCCCTATTGGATTGATCCTCTGAGTAAATTTTCCTTCAGTGGCTGATGACACACAAATCCACCTTCCCTTCATCACTATGATACTCTGTTCATGATATGTGGGAAATTTCCTAAGGAATTTTAAAAACAGATTAAATATAATTACACAAGATTACCTAATTTGTTTGGCGCCTCTAAACTAATCTCTGAGTTTCGACTGCCTGAAGGTAATGACACAAGTAAAACCACACTGCTGTCAGATCTCATATATGAAGGATTAAACTTGTCAAGATGACACTAAAAGATGTAATTTACTGGGACAGACCAGTCTTAACATTCACTCCTCAGAGACATGCTTCCACACAGCTCAGAAGTAACTCCAGACTAACCAAATGACAGGTGACAATATTCCAACCATTTACTAGGGCTGGGCGATATGGACCGAAAACCGTATTTTTAGGCAGAATAGCATTATGTACATTAGTATTTTCTGTGAGGTTGGCTAAATGTTTAAATATACAAATACTCAGTATAGATACTTTCATTACTGCAAACAGAAGTCTCAAAATAGACAAAAATAAACGATGCCTATATGGGTCCAATAAAGCAGCCTCAATATAATACCCTTTAACATCACTACGTCTACTAACAGCATTTTTTTTTTTGTTTATGACATTGCTCTTAAAACAGAAGCTGGATGCTTATGAGCAAAAAACAAAAATCTAAATCTAACACCTATTTAGCAAATGGCACTAAAACTGAAAGCAAATGAGAAAAACGTAAACTATGCTTAATATCTGCAAAGACCCTCAGTTTAAGTTACTACTCAAAATATCAACAAATTTCAACAAAATAAAACAATCATTGCGAATTATAATATTTTTAGCCTGAGTCATTTGTCAATGTTTTGAAACAAAATGAACCGAGTGACAACGATGCCTCCAACAGCTTTTCCGTGAGACGCAAACTGGGCTGGTTTAATTTTAGCTGTGCATCCTGCAACGGCACGACCAAAGCTCTCACTCTGTTACAACCAGAAAGGAATACTATTGGTTTCTGTTAAAAGAGCTTTAATAGAGCCCTAATTTTATATTGATATAAAGGGTATTGTGTTATCCTACATCTCATCTTGAAAATATATCAATTTACTGTAAAAATGCAATATACCACCCAGCTCTACCAGTTACAAAACATCTTACCCATCTGAAAGCTGTAGGCCTACTGTTAACTGCACGGTTACCGGCAGAGCCATACCCATTTGAAAGCTGTAGGCCTACTACTAACTGCGTGGTCACCAGCACAGCCAATCCCATGCGAAAGCTGTAGGCCTACTGCTAACTGCACGGTTAGCAGCAGTACCAAAGCCATGTGAAAGCTTGAGACCTAATGCGAACGGAAAGGCATCCGTATCTGCCACGTTCACAGACTCACATTGCCCTTGACCACATAGTTGGAGTCAGTGGTGATATCCCGTGCCAGGCCGAAGTCGCAGATCTTGGCCACCCGTCCCTGAGTAAGCAGGATATTCCTGGCAGCGAGGTCTCTGTGGATACACTAACACAAAATACAACAGTCAGGTACACACACACCCACGAAGTGTCAACACGTGACGCTCTAGAAGCACGCAGGTCTGAAACATTAGAACGAGGTAAGCTTCTCCTGGATTGACATCATACACTCAAGGGAAAGTTTACCAGGTACACCTGCTTGCTAATGCAAGCAGCCTCTTCCAAAACAGCGAATCATGTGACTGCAACTGATTACTTACAGCACACAGACAGGATCAAGAGGTTCACTTACTGTTTGACTAAGTATTACAATGGCTAAGGCGCCTGATCCAAGCGATTCCAAATAAGGTGTGATTACTTGTACCATACAGTGCCGTTATAGCATCATTAGAAACAGCTGCCCTCCTGGGATTTTGACAGGTATCTGGAGTTTACAGAGAATGAAGTAACAAACTAATGCACCCAGTCAATGGTGTTTCTGTGGCCAAGAACACTTTCTGAATGAGAGAGGTCAGAAGAGGATGGCCAGACTCATTAACGCTAACAGGAATGTCACAAGGCCAAGAATAACAACTCAGTACAACAGTGGTGTAGAGAATGGCTCTTAGTGCACTACTGATCCTACCCGGTCCTACCCGGTAGTAGCTAGGTATTCCTAATGAAGTGGGCACTGAGAGCGTCTTTGTATTTGTGTTGTTCAGTATGGGCTGACATTACAAGGTCATAATCAATTCCTATTATATAACAATAACAATCTGGTCTGGTTTGATGTACTCCATCAGGAGCATTAAGAAAATGTTTCTCCACCCAGTCTTTGGGAACTCCCAGACAGGCCACATTTTTGCTCCTTCCCAGCTCCATACCAGGTATTCGGTGTTCTTGATTGGCTGGGAGCTAGTAGGGAGCAAAAATGTGGCCTGTCTGGGGGTCCCAGATGACTGGGTTGAGAAATACTGCTTTACGGTATTAATCTGGTATGTAATGATCTTACAGAAGGACCTTCAGCATGTCATGGATAATGCATTTACCCAACGCATTAAACTCAACAAACTTTCAAACTCAAGAAACACAACAAACACCTCGAATCCTGACCCGCTTGGTGGAGAAGGGAACACTGCAGCTTACATTCTTGGAGGCAAGGAAGTCCATCCCTTTGGCCACCTGATAGGAGAAGCTCAGTAGGTCCTCGGTGTCTAGTGACATCCCATCCTCAAGCAGCGCATCGCTTTGCTCTTTTTCTGCACACAATCCTCCTGCTGCATAAATAGTGGGGGTGTCACTTCACAGTCCTCACATCCTCCACACAAAGGTCTAGGTCTCTCACCCATAATCCTTAGCAGAAGCCTGATGGTTTACACAGCTTACACATCCTTTGGGTAAAGGTACAATGACTGACCACTCCGTTCTGGACATTGACCATCTATATACGCGTAACTAATGTTCAAGTATAAATATTGATGAGGTATAAATTTTTCAGTGACTGAACAAAACTAGTGCAGTTAATGTAGATGTATAGGGTATCTTAGGGCGGCAGTACATCATTGCTGTAGGAAGAAAATCGTGTTTGTCCATTTTTTGTCAATTGTTACTTTTTACCATAGATGGAATACGCCCATTCCCCTCTGTTTACTGACATCGAATTGACTAGTGAAAAAATGTTTTATGAAGTCATATATTTAACCAGTATTTATGTTTGTACTAGTTAATAATTGTATTCATGGTGGTTGTTCAAATAAATTATATAGCTGATTTAAACAACTTAATGTTGATATTGTAGATAGCTAGATAACATCATTGTGTGAATATTGCATAATTGTGAATATTATGCAAGGTTAATTTGTATATTGTTGACTGGCATATTTGTATCACTGACAACAATTCATGTATTCATGTCGATTTAAACATCAAACCATTCACTGAGGGCTGGGCAAAGTTAGGTTACTCTTTGTGGTGGTAAGGGTGTCATATTGTTTTAGGTTTATTTCGTAGTTTTGGAGAAACTGTTTTTTTCATGCTCTCAGAATAACACATTTTTGGAGATGCGTGTTTTTCATTGGACAGTGAAGTATAGTGGATAGCTAAATGTAAACACTATTGTAGCAGCAGACCAGTCTATGTACTAAGGCATTACTCACAGTGTAAACACTTCTGTAGCATCAGAGCAGTCTAAGTACTAAGGCATTACTCACAGTGTAAATGCTACTGTAGCAGCAAAGCAGTCTATGTACTGAGGCATTACTCACAGTACAAACACTACTGTAGCAGCAGAGCAGTCTATGTACTAAGGCATTATCTGCAGTGTAAACAGTACTGAGTACCACTTTACAATAAGGCTCCCTTTTGCCACTTGTAAATGGTAGTGACTCATTAATAAAAAGAAAACTATGTTATAACTTGTTTAAAATTGTCTATGTAATAATTTACAAAGTGTTACAACCTAATTAATAACCACATTATAAACCATTCATAAACTCTTTATATAGGTAGCCTTATTGTAAAGTGGCACCCACTACTGTAGCAGCAGAGCAGTTTATGTACTAAGGTATTACTCAAAGTGTAAACACTACTGTAGCAGCAGAGCAGTCTATGTACTAAGGTATTACTCAGAGTGTAAACACTACTGCAGCAATAGAGCAGACTAGTTAAGGCATTACTTGCAGTGCAAATACTACAGGGTCATCAAAGCAGCAGAGTTCTTGCCTTTTCTCAGTGAAGGTTTCCTGTCTGAAGAGAAACCACGTGAAGGGACTCCAGTGGCAGCTGGCCTCATCATCATGTAGCCATTTCTGTTTTCATCTCTGTAGGGTATCCAGAGACCAAAGGATGACAAAGGTAGCCCTTCACGAGCCACTCTGAGGCATGCAAGTGCCCCCCCTAACCCCCCGCTGAAGAGCAGCCCCCTGGCCAGCGTTCGGCAAAGGGTCTATGCAGTAACAGCAAGCCATGAAATGGTGGTGCATCTCGACTCTGACCTCACTGACTCCGGATGCAGGAGGACGTTTTTGTAATGGCAGTCGTCTCCCAGCTTGGAGCAGAAGAATATCTCCCGCTTTCTTCTCAGGAAGTTCAAGAGGTCACCGAAGCAGCAGTACTCCGTGATGACCAGTGTAGGACCTGTGGAAAGTCCGGGCAGATAAACACTCTAGTGGAAACTTCACAAGTACAAGAGATGCGATATCAACTCAAATCAACTGTCACGCAAAGACTGAACTTCTGACAAACGCTGAGGAACATCCCCCAGACTAAGACCCTCCCAGATGTCCTCTGATCTCTTGTCCACAGTCTGTTTATGAGCCTTGAGGACTAACCTCCAACAGTGCAGGCTCCCAGCAGGTTAACAATGTTCATGTGGTGGCCCAGGTAGCTCAACACCTTCAGCTCAGACATCAGAGCCTCCTTCTCAGTTGCATGGGCACTCGCTAGGGAGAGGAGGTAACATGGCAACCGTCAAACTCCACCTTTGATTGGATCCTTCCCTCACGCACTCACAGACACCCCAACAAGCACACACCTTGACACTGCACCGAAGCACGAATGCTGTATTTCCTACTCAGGGGGCCTTAGTTCATAGCTAGTAAGTACCAGTGAAATCTGATAATGTCAGATAAGGTGTGACTGTGCAGATGCACGGTCGGACTCACGTTTCAGCATCTTAACGGCCACGGTCATCACAGTGTTGGCCTTGGACATGCCGTAGGCTGTGGCCTCCACTACCTTCCCAAAGGCTCCAGAGCCCAAGGTTTTTCCTGCAGATGAAACCACACTCACAGATAAGATGACACTATCCCACAATGACTGGAATTCTGCATTACATTAATTTAAAATTAATATGTCCAATTGTTTCCACTACGTTCAATTTCACCCGTAGTGAACTTTATATCATGCCTTACAGGATATACAGTGCTCACAGAAAGTATTGGGATCCTTGCTTAATTCAATAAAAATACCCAAATTAACCCACACTGTATTTTGTATCCTTCTGGGAGACATTGACTATTGCAATTAAGAGCATCTAGGCAAGAGTCAGTGAAAAAAATTATGAACGTTAAAAAAAAGAAAATGTCTGTGAGTAGGATGTGTGCAGATATGTTTCTGATGGACTTTTGTTATGAAACCAATAAATTTGTAACATTTTTACAGTATCACATTATACGTGTTTAGCATTTGCATTACTGGATATACTTTAAAGTTTATTTTAATTTATTATTATTATTATTATTATTATTGTTATTAATAATAATATTATTTTTATTATTATTATTGAACTTTTTCTTATTTTAGAACTTTATGTTCTATGTTGTATGCAAATATATACACCAATACTGCAAAGACAAACTCCTAGTATATGCAGGGCTATCTGGCCAGTAAACTGATTTCTGATTCTGAAGAAGTTTTCGTTTTGTGCACCTAGAATTTCAAACATGAGTAGTTGTTTGCTCAGGCTACTTGTTGTCCTTAGCGCCATCACGCTACATAGGGACTTCACACTACAACTACTTTTGCCAGACTAAACCATCCAGGATCCTAGATCCTGTTTACTCCTGGGGCAACATTTCTGTTATTGTTGAAGCCTGGTGTTTGCTCAGAGGGTGTGGCACATGAAAATACCTGGGAAAATGGCTAGGACAGGTTGCTGGAAGGCCCGGTCTTCCCCTGAAATAGCTGTTAGTCATCGGAGTTGCTTACCAAACCGCAGCTTGTCACGGGGGAACTCCCACTGGTGGTCATAGGGAAGCTGAGCAGGGTCAATGTAGACATAGTTGTTGCCGTGGATTCCTTCGATCACCTTCCACTGGATCTGATACTTAGGCTTCTGTTTTGCAAGAGAGAAGAATAGGTTTCAATTATGCTCTTCCATACACAAATGAGACATTCTGGCTGGGGGGAGAGTCACGGATTTGACCCTTGGGGGGGGGGGGGGGGCTCAGCCCCCAGTGATATGTATAAAGTAATCAATTACTGCTGCATTTCCCATGGGTCCTAGTGCTACCTCTTAGAAGAGGCAAGGTCAAATTTTGATGGATTTGAATGAAGATGAATGAGAACACACCATTCAATTGGCTTTTTAAACACAATATTTAAACTAATTAGTGTACAGTTATTTGCAGGGGGCTAAAGCCCTCTCAGACAGCACTAGCAATGCCCCAGTTCCAGCGAGGTGGACATCATCCCTGTGATTGGTCAGCATACATGTGTTCTGGCTTGTGATTGGCCAGTATGCACACATATGGTCCAGCAGCCTGAGCGTACCTGTAAGTACTTATAGAAGAGCAGCAGCAGGATGACACAGAGCAGGGCCGCAGCTGTCACAAAGCCGATGAGTAGCGGCGTGAACAGGTGATGTGGCACCGTACGTTCTGGAGCAGGGGAGACAAGGTCACAGAGGTAAGCTTATGAACCCAGGAAGAAACCAGAGGCTGGAATGGGACTGACCAAATCCAGGCTCCCAAAACCAGACACCAAGGTCCATTGACAGATAGCTACATTATTAAACATGAAGGAAATTGCAAGATGATGGTGCACTGCCTTCCCCATCTGTGACTCGAGCCCCGGTGTCTCACAGAAGCTGGGACACACACCACTATCCTAACAACAAGAAAGCCATAAGAGGGAGGATTCTCCCAAAACCGGGTTTCCCATCCAAATCAAATAGTGTTCAATTAGAATTAAATGGTTTGTTCCACCAGGGTGGATTGGTTTATATAAGGGGGGTGAATCCATGCTTTTCTGTGTTCCCGATTATAACCGTTTTCATTATAAAGCTTCTCTGTACCTCTCTGTCTGCTAGCCATCTGTCAGCTCCAGAAAATGCCACGAGTATTAACATGTCCAACAGCAACACATAAAACAGTCGTTATTTGGGATTAAGCAGCTGATTTGAAGCCGGGAAAAAAATCTGCAGGCCCGTGTTTAACAAACACATAAGACGGACCTGAAAAACCACCAATGACTTAAATTACACCTAAGTAAATATTTACTAATCATAACTAATGGTATTTGTGTGCATGAGAGGGCCCTGGTAAATACGGGCCTGAGGGTGGCTGTCTCTGTAACCAGCTATTAAACTTAATAGCTAATCACTAATTATTAACAGTTAAGCTACAAGCGTCATGCCGATCAGTGCATTTTTGACCTCAGGGGAGTGAGTGCTGACGAAATTCCCGAATCAAGCTCGACGTAATGAACTGATTACGGACTCCGACCAGGTTAACGGATCTCATTATCCTTCCGAGAAAGGGAATAATCTTTCATAAGCATCTCTGTCTGTGCGACCACAGATTCTCGTCGCTGATTATCAACAGTATTAAAAAAAAACATGTCGCAGGCCATAAACCACTTGAGACGGAGAATGAGAAGACGGTTAAAAATGGAACGGTTGCATTTGTGTTGTCATTGTAGACGAATAAGGTATCTGTCAAAAACAAAAAAATAAGTCAGTAGGTAGTTAACACAGGAAGTCTGAGCAGCAAACATTCTCCTTCTGCTTCCCGGTTTTCTGACAAAACACCATCAGTGTTTTTTATGAACAGGGAAAATCCCCGGTATCATACGGTAAATGTATTTTGAGTCTGTGCTGAGTGTGTCCTGTTTCCGTCCAGTGTTTGGTTATATTAGTGTTTATATTCCTCCGTCAATGGCAGTTAAAACAATAGAGTATAGCGGTTATTACTGCTGAGGCTCATTGACTGCTGTCCGGCTGACCGTACAATGACGCCCTCAAGGTCATCTGCATGGCCCAGTAAATATTACAGGTTGTTTAGCATATACTTAGCGTTTACCTGTTTGGATGTTCGCTGAACATTTCACAAACTCTTGGTTAAGACGTTTGGTTAAGTTACAGGGACTTAAACAGCTTGTGTGAGTGGTACATGTGGCAAAGTACAGATTAGAGTGGTCAGTGTCCCTGTGGTTTAAACAGTCGATGTTGCATTGTGTTAAACAGTCCACCTCATTCATAGTTGAGCGGTCAGTGTCACTGAGGTTTAAATGGTCAGTGTCACTGAAATTTACACAGTCAGTGTCACTGAGGTTTAAATGGTCAGTGTCACCGAGGTTTACACAGTCAGTCTCACTGAGGTTTAAATGGTCAGTGTCACCGAGGTTTAAATGGTCAGTGTCACTGAGGTTTACACAGTCAGTGTCACTGAGGTTTAAATGGTCAGTGTCACTGAGGTTTACACAGTCAGTGTCACTGAGGTTTAAATGGTCAGTGTCACTGAGGTTTACAGGGTCAGTGTCACTGAGGTTTACAGGGTCAGTGTCACTGAGGTTTACAGGGTCAGTGTCACTGAGGTTTACAGGGTCACAGTTATTGTTTTTCTCCATCTCTGTAGTCATGTATAATAAGCTAATAGGCTGTAAGGGGATTTCTCTCCATTTCACATCTAAGACTGCAGAGTCTGCAAGAACTAATCCCGTGTAAGTCTGTCCATGGCTACAAAGCTGCCTCGCAAGCTGCCTGTAGCTGAAGGCCCCCTAAGCGTCTTACTCTCGCCTGAGCGCACCCCCCCCTGCCTCCCCCCGAATCCCCCACTCTCTAACCACGCAGACTTTAATCCCCATCATGCGCCTCGCACCTCAACACAAATGATCTCCAATCAGAGTAAACAACGGTGAGCTGCACTGTATGCTACACATCTGATAGCTTCCCTGTATTTGCCTGATCACTGCTCGCTACGCAAGTGTCCATTTCCCGCGAACCCAAGACAGCCCTAGGAAACTAATCGGTTTACAAAGCTGCAATTTAAATAACGAAATGTGCTCATCTGTTGGGTGCACAACCTGTGACTTACAGTTAACACATGTTAAGTGAGTGGGAGGGGTCAGTGAGGTAGTAACAGGTCACCTGGGGTGAGTGGGCGGGCCAATGAGTGAGTGACAGGCAGTCTGGGTAAAGTGGAAGGGACCGATGAGTGAGTGCCACGTCAGCTGAGGTGAGAGGGCAGGGTCAATGAGTGAGTGACAGGCAGAGACATACCACTGATGGAGAAGAGGAAAAAGGCCTCTTCGTCTTCCACCATGGCCACGCATTCCACCGTCTGGTAGCTGCCCCTGCTGACGTTCAGCCGACTCTCCACCTTGCTCCGCCCAAAGGCAGGGCTGGACAGAACTATGCTGGTGACGTCCCGCTCTTCCATGCTGGAGTTCTGCAGGTGTGAGCACCTGGAGGCAGCAGATCATGTGACTAAATGCGAAGAATAATGGCACAGACAATAAATTATGTTAACATGCCAAATGACGCTAAACATGTAATTTGTATCCTGTTGGAGAGACAATAAATCCTGCAGGTGTAATTTGTACAACACTGAACAGGTGATGTAATCCCAAAGCATTCTTGATAAATTGGCTTGTATACAAAAGAGCGTCTGAGAATTGAACGTGTTAGTGTGTTTCAGCTGTGGCACTCTGCACTTATTTTCATTTGGTTTCCTGCCAGGGGCGATGCTAGGCTTTTTTTAAGGTGGAGGGGGGGCATAAGAGGGGCCGGAATTCTAACAGAGGGCCCAACCTTATCATTAGCCAATGATATGTTTTTAATCGGTGAGTGACAGAGGATGATGCACTCCGGGGACCAATCAGCTATCTGCCCCCTGTATACGCCCCTGCTTCCTGCTGCGTTTATCTAGGCAGGATCTGGATAATCCCCTCTGACTGCACAGGTGGCCCCCGCTGATTGGCGTTGCCACAGTCACCCGTTGCTTCCTGATCAACGTCACTGTCGTCAGTGGCTCAGAAGCCTGGTGGAATTATCAACTGTGGAAGCTGCCATGTCGATATCCTGAGACGCGAGTCCGTCCTGTCCCCCATTCACGATGACCACCCAGCGCTTTTTGAACGGCTCTCTGGAGATGCACCGTGTGTCTAGATTGATGACGGGTGTTTGATGGTGATTGATGACAATGGAGGATGACCGGGTGGCTGAACAATGACCATGTGTACGAGGAGGTTAATGTTCCACCACTGCCAATTCAACTGGAGAACTTCCCATCTCAGATATACGGGTGCAAAATGGCAAACCGTCTGTATCATACTACTACCCATATAAAAATAGCATGTTACATTACTTAAACTCGGAAAATAACAAATTAGAAAATCTTTTAAGTTAACAAAAAAGAAACAAAAGTATTACAGGTGAATGAAAACATTCCATATACTCAAGCATTAATGCAATTGTGTAAAAATACAGGTCTGACATGCAGGTTATATCAGAAACACTCCAAACTTGACAGCAGAGGTATGGTAAATCTTAATTTCCTTAACAAAGTACTTCAAAACCTATTATTGAATTTGAATAATGAAGAAATATGGCAGGGATGACATGCAGTGACCCCCTGGGTTCAATCTGACATGCAGTGACCCCCTGGGTTCAATCTGACATGCAGTGACCCCCTGGGTTCAATCTGACATGCAGTGACCCCCTGAGTTCAATCTGACATGCAGTGACACACAGGGGACAGATGAGTAACTGGTTTAACCATCCTGACACAGAACGACATCAGGGTAACTTTCAAGAAACATCTATCCTTGTCTAACAAGGAGCAGGCTCATGAGTACTAACAAAAGGTGCCTCAGTGGGTCACTTCTAGAAGCCCCTGTTTAGTGTAAATATTCCTAACCACCCCCTCCTCTAGACCCTAAACAAATCGTGAGCTGGATGCACATGTAGTTTCTTGTTGGTGTTCACCAAGACCAACTTTCAGTTGTAGTAGCTCTTGTGTAATCTGATATTTAGCAGCAGGGGTGCAGTAGGGGCATGGATACTCTGGCAGGTTCAGGGGGCCCAGCACTTTACAGGGGCCACCTTATGGGCATGGATACCCTGGCAGGTTCAGGGGGCCCAGCACTTTACAGGGGCCCTTGAATATGTAAAAGTACGCTTAAAAATGGGTGTGTGGGGGGGGCAAGGTAACATTTTTTCAGAATTTGTACCTACGTCCCTCTTTAGGATTTGGAGGATGAAACCATGTCTAATTTAAGTGCCGTGACCAAGCGCAAAATATACTTCGACAGCAGATGAGTTCATGCCCCTGCCGCCAATCAAAGCATGGCAGAGATCGGCACTCGAGCCTGGGCTCCGATCCTCCACTGTCTCGTGGCCCTGACTGCGGCAGATGGCCTCTTTGCAGGGCAGCTGTTGACTGCATGTGGGATGCTCATTGTACCAGGCTTTCTTTGCTCACAACTGCGTTTTTTCCTTATTCCTCAAACCTGTCGTTCCTCGTAAACACTGGTGCCTGTATAATTAAACGCCTGTTCAGTGCATTTGTTTAACCCAGTTATACAGTACTGGCACTGACCCTCAGGTTTAATGTCTGTTGGGTTCTGAACCAGTTTGCCTGTTTTCCTGTAGCTATGGGGAGTTCTGGAGAATTCCATGTAGAAGTGCACGCCTGGGTCATGTGATATACTGGTGTCTATACACAACATACCCCACCTTATGCCCTGTGATGGACAAGCGTTCCATCCACGGTGTACCCTTACTCATGTTCTGCGCACTCTGGAATACCACCACCAGCATAACTGAGTAAAGAGGTTACTGAAAACAGATCGATGGTTTTCAGGATGGACAAGTTTGTCCTGTTTCTTCTCAGCATTCTTGTTTAATTGCATAGAAAATAAGCAGTTATTAATATCTTTTAAACTGTTCTCTCCTATGATCCCATTTGCAGTTACTGCGCTGTCACTTCCCACAAAAAAAAAACCTCGCATTTCCACTCCATTAATGGATATTTACCTACAAACTATGCACTTTTGTTTGTAATACATGAAATTACCTCTTAAATACAGTAATATTCATGCTCGTGCTCTTGGTGCAGAGATTCATACTGAAAAATTGTTCACATGTCACTTTTAACTGTGCACAAGCCGCATTAAAAGCCGCTGCTTGAATTATTAATATAGATCCACTATTCTCACACTGAGAGAACTTCCTTAATGTTCTGTAAATAATTTTTCAAAGAACCAAAGTGAAAAGGCCCTTGATAACGTCAAGTTCTCCTTCTGCTCTTCTGTTCCTGAACAACCCCAAGAATAAAACCCAATAATGTTTTCACAGAACTCTGGGGTAATTAAAATGAGATTACTAATGACATTTAAAAAGTATCGAAGCTCCACAGATCAATGCAGAATCACTTCCATTGTAACCGAAAGGGAAAAAAGAATCATTCCAGTAATTAGCCATTTTGTATACAAACCAGGCAGATTAAAGGACAGAAAACCAAGATCTAGGAATTTTGGACCTTTAGTGGCAGGTTAACCATATTTTCAAAGTCATTATTGTTGATGCAAGCTCTACTTTGCAGCTGACCTTAACTTACTCATGATGCAGGATCAGACTTAGTACGAGATGAAGGAAGACCATTAAATCTACTTTGAATTTTTGTTCCTGAAGCTTTTTCAGTAGCCCAAACTAAACAAATGAAGCTCAATTTCTGAAAAACCACCGAAACCGCAAGAAAAAAAAAAGTCTCTGAAAGTTTCTGAGAAAATGCACAAGCTACAAGCAAAACAAGGCCACAATTTCTGGAAAAAATAAGTCCAGACAACAAACAAGGTCACTCTATGAAAAGAACCACAAGCACAAGCAAAACAAGGCTAATTTCTGAGGGAAAACAGAGCCCTGCTTTGCTATGCATCACACAACTGTTCAGTCTTCAATGTTTGGGTCACCATAGCCCTGAGCCCTGAGTTGACTCACCGTCTGTGCGGCTGCTCGCAGGAGAACCAGGTGATCTGAGGGGTGGGGTACCCCTCTGCCACGCAAAGCAGCTGCCCATCCAGGGGCCCCTCCCGTGCCACAATCTCAGGCTTACCTGCATGAGACATAGACTGGTCAGGGCACGTCCTGCATTCCACTACCACATACCCCCCTCCCCCACCCCTCACTGGAGCCCACTGCCCCACTTACTCATCACATGCACCATGAACAGCTGGCTGGCCGTGGCGTTGGTGTTCTGTGCCAGAAATGTGTACACCCCCCCTTCCGAGGCTTTCAGGCGCACCAACTTCAGCTCGCTCTCGTACCTGAATGGGGAGGGCATCATCATCATCGTCGTCTACAAAGATCGCCATGGCAACGCGTCCTGAGGTGAACATACCTGAGAGCACAGCTGGGTATCGTATGACATTACTGCGCACATACAAATGCACACGCAATCAGGATAATTTAGGGTCACCGATTCACCTATCAGCACATCTTTGGATCGGAGGGTGAAATTTGAGTACCCGGTGGAAGCCTGTGCAGACAGACCTGTCATTTATCACAGAATTTTTAGGGTAGACGTAATGGTAGGTGTGTGGACCAACCTGAGTGTTGCTATGAGTCACTTAGCTACTCTAGGGCCTAAATCATAATAGAACTTACCTTGTGAAACGCAAAGTAATGAACTGAGCTCACCTGTATCCCATCTCTTGCGTGGAGATGACATGGTCCGAGCTGTTCTGCAATGCCTGCCCCTCATACACCCAGGACATGAGCTTCGGTCTGGGGTAGGCCTCCAGCACAATCCGGAGGACGAGGCTCTCCCCAGCACGGGTGTACATGGTGTCATTGCCCACCTCTATTAGGGTGATGAAGCCCCGCTCTGCATCCAAGAGCAGACTCACATGAGACATCTGTATTTCCACAGAGTTACAGTCTTCCCGGGCTTCGGACCTTAATGAGTGACACCAGTTCCTCACCATAGACACGTAGCTGGATGGACGACGAAGCCACGCCACGCTCATTGGTGGCCTCGCAGCGGTAGCTTCCGGAATTATTCATTGTCACTGTGGCAACTTTGAGCGAAAGTATATTCATGTACAGCAAGGGGTTCGTCAGCATTTGGAACTTTCTCAACACGACTGGGTTCTGTGGACAAAGGCCATTTAACATGAAGCAGAGTGATTACTCACCATTCCCATTATGGCACTGGGAAGTTCACTGTGATACAGACAGGCTGTATTTCAAACAGGTGATCTGCTATGATGTTCACTGGATAATACCCGTCCCACACACATACAAACACAACAAAACACTCAGTGATCATCGTGACAGGCGGATTGGAATGATCTATCGATCAGGTGACGATCTTACCGTTCCTGGTGGAGAGGTCCACTTCAGGCTGAAATCATTGTTGATATTGGTAGTGGTGCACGTCACCTCAAAGCGTTCACCCACAGTGAGAATCACAATTTCCTTCTCAGATAACTCGATGTTGGGAAGCTTATCCGCAGCTAAAAAGAAATCTTAACTTTAGTTTCAACCCTCGGGTGTTTCAATCCTATCACTATTCCTTTCTTCAGATCATCTCTGTCAAATGCACATAACGGTGTGCAGTCTACCCAAGCCGCAGCAGGAGTATAAAACGTCTGGAGGGACACCCAGGGGGGGCTTTGTTATTTCTGGGGCCCAACTCAAAAAGTAACTTAAGGGACACAACACGGCCCCCCCACAATCCTCTGGGCATTGCTACCTGTTTGTCACCATGTCCCTGATGCATGCTGGGAAATTGAATGCGAGCGACAGCACGCTTACCCAAGCGAACGGTGAGCGTGTACTGGACGGAGGTCTCCGTCTGTCCATTCAGCTGACCAGTGCAGACATAGCAGCCCTCAAAGTCCTTCCGTAGGTTGGAGATGGTGACGCCGCGCTCAATACTGGCACTGAATTGCAGCCCGGGGGGCAGCGGCAGGCCACCGCACGGAACCACCTGCAGCTCAGTCACATTCGGGTCCGTCGCCAGGCACGGGATCACGCAGCTTTCGCCAGCCTTCCCTAGTAAGTTATTCATGATCGTCTTCCGGAAGGCATTCTTGGGGTCTGCCAAAACAATGGCCTTGCTTTTAATTATCTCATTGGGAGAGAGTGCTAGCTTTAGACTTCTTCCCTGTGGCAACAGAACTATCTTTGTTTACTAGATATGATAGGAACACTAGTTAGCCGTTAGCTTGTGTGCACACCTTTGACAAACACGTAGACTGAGGCCTGCTCGCGGCTCTCCCGATTCTCACACAGGTAGCGGCCCATGTGTTGAGCCTGAGCCTTGGGGATCTTGAATGTGGCCCTCCCCTTCGTCTTCTCGACCCCCTTCAATGTCTTGTTGTAGCGGTCTTCACGTAGCCACTGAACATCACCGTCATCCCAGCAGTCCAGCTGAAGGGGGTCGCTGAGGGACACCACCAGCTGCGGGCCACCTGGCTCTATGCGGAGCCTCGTCTCACCTGAAATACGGCAGTTTATTGGACCCGTGAGAGAAATGCAACGGAGGGCAAGCCTGCAAGAGTGGCTAAACACAACTGCTAACACAAGGCTACTACACACTGGTTCTTAATACACCTTAACTCACATGCCAGTAAATATGGTCTCCACAGGGCCGGCCCAACCGTTTTCGGGGCCCTAAGCAAAACGTGATAAACCTAATTGTCATGTTATTGTCCTTCTGATTCTGACAGGCTGATCAGCTGAGGGGCCCCAGGGGGGCCCTGGGCCCTAAGCAGCAGCATAGTTCATTTATGCCTTGGGTCGGCCCGTATCTCCACAAACCCTAAAATTACTGCCATCTACATGGTCTCTAACATCGGGTCAAAACACGCAACTAGTAACACTTTAATGGAAGTAAAGCAACCATACCAAAGGCTAAGACCTTGTAGTAGAGTCTTCAAATACCCAGCAAACTGCATGTGTGTGTTAGTATCCGTTGGCATGTGTCAAAACTTAGCATGAGAGGCGAGATACAGACACGGGGCCACTCCCTGTCACGATGCTAGCTGCACTGCATGTGAAGGGGGTATAGCAGACACGGAGGGTGACATTAGCATGCCGAAAAACTCCCAAGTCAAAATACAGAGCTGGAAGTTGGTTTACTGAAAGCCCCGGACTTCCATATTGGTTGATATGTATAGAAAATTATGGTCAGACATGTGTCAACGAATGGTAGAGTCAGGGTGTTAATGGCAAATCAGATCTGGTGCTGATGGCCTTGTGATTAAGCCCATTTCCCTGAGCTGGGTGACTGGTGGGATATTTATACTATATATTACATTACTGACATAATCGACCAAGAATAATTGGAAACTGAAGTATATGCCCCACAATAAAAAACATGTGAAATGGAGGCTGCGGAAATAAAAATTTGAAGTAAGATGGCATTGCATTGAGTTTAATTGGAGAGTGTTAAAAATCGAGTTCCCTAGACAAGCAATAACGCTATAAATATGCCAAGAGGATATCCATGCGATCTGTCGCTTTACACGTCTTTTAAAACTCCGGGTGCGTCCTCAGCACGCGCCACGGCCCATTGATCACCTCCTGTCCGTGCATGTCATCCACGCATATACTTACATTAATTTGCAGCATAGCACTCTTTTCGCTTTCATACTTCCATTTCACGCACACACACAAAATCACCTCTTTCGCAAACAGCAATCCAGCGGCTAATGCACCGACGTTTGAAGCAGGTACAGCCACTGCGGCGCCGAAGAGTAAACATGGATTCTGCATACAGACCACATTCTAAACTAGATGCTAATTACTTAAGAGTGAAATATATAAGCAATTTAAATGCGTTTTACTATTTGTTATGCAGTGCAGACAATAGACAGCTTATGCGCTTTATCTGATTTACACAAGCAACAATCACTAATAAATGACAAAAATCAAAATGTTTCTCTTGATATCGGTCTAGCCTGGAGGACACGTACTGGACACGGCGGTAAAAACACTTTTCACGTGCGAGGCGGACCCAGTTAATAGGCCACCAAACATCTGGTTTAAGGTCCATTCGCCATTGAGCCTAATGCATCTTGTTGGTGATCGCAGAGGTCCTTAGTATTACCTTGCAGCCTAAGTGAACCAGGTCTAAATAACCTTTTTCAAAAGACATGTTTAAAAAGAATACCCCGTATCCAGGATTTATACCTGCGGTCTCTCTCCATACAGCTGTAGATAAAAAAGCATATGCATAAATAAATCAGCTACGCATATCAACCCGTCTTGTAAACATCTTCAGTAATCATCAGGTTTGCTTGCACCCTTCTAAGAAACCTACGCAAATTTCCATGTGCCCATCTTAGTCATAATACATGGACCAACGGCATCGGACTTTTTCATAGAGCAAACTCGGATTACGGCTTTATATGAAGAAATCAGAGGTCGTTTCGGACCGCGGTGTCATACCGACACAAAGACAGAAATTAAAGGAAGAGGCACGAAGCTCGCGCGCAATTAAATTACTGCAGAAGCTACATCACGGATTTATATTCTGGTAAATGCTGTTAGAATGGTTGTACTGTTAACAGGGTAGCCCAATAATTTGAGCATGTGGAAAACACGTGTTAAAATAGTAGGTAATACACACATGCTGTGTAAATAATTAAAGCGCAACTTAAAAAAAAAAATTAAAAGCGCTTTTTTATCACTACAACTACAACTAACACTACTACAAGTAGTAATAGTAGTGATAAATGAAAGATTTTCTAGATGAACAAAATATTGAACGCAGTGTACTTTATTATACTACGTATAGCCGTATAACTGGAACGGTGTAATGGTGCTGCCGCAGCACATACTTCATTGTTTATTGTCTTTGTGTGGACGCGTGCGTTAAGATCCGCACTTCCAGTTATAGGATAAATAATTAAAAAGACTGCATCTGTATGGAAGGGGATACACACCACCCCTTCACCTGCAGCTTCGTCTCAACGGATCCAGTTTCCTCAATAGCTTTTTGATGCGTTAGAAAATATCTAATCAATCTAGTTTTGAACAACAAACTAGCCACTACAGTGTAACTGTGAGTTTTTCTTTTTACACTAGCTAACAAAGAGAAAATAACTGAAAGATGAATTTAATACACTTAAACCTCTTTTACTGGTAAGTAATTTGAGCTGATGTTAACATGGTGTTGTATATATGATAGACGTGTAATTCAAAAAAGCATTACTGCCTGTCACTTGTAACGAAACAGGTGAAAGAACATTTGATCAAATAATAATAAACGTAACAGGTGGCTTTAAATAGCATTAAACAGCGAAAAACTAAAAGTGTAAGTCAACACTATTCCCAAATATTAAAAGGATAATAACGAGCCTGCCAAACACATTAGCATATCCAAACAATTCCTATTAAATTCTTAAAAATACAATCCAACAACACTTTCACCACTTTTCGCGTGTTCTCTTTAGTTTAAAATAAAATAGACTTGTTTCCACTGATCGTGCTTGAGGGTCCTACCTGGAATGAATGTTATCAGTAACGAAGCAATAAAGAGCCAGTACGGTCCCATAGTTACAGTCCCATTTATCTTGAAAAGGTGTTGTGACAGTGTGACTATCCTGTCGGACTCTAAGCGCTCCTGGGTTATTAGCCGCAAAGACTCTCCGGCCTATTTGAATATTCAGGACGCACGCATCAGCGCACACCCCTGTCTGCTTGCGTTGCTTTCAATGCGATCGCGTTTCACCTTCATCGTAGGAGTTACATGTAAGTAATTTATCAGCGCAGGGTGTTTCTTAACACTCAGTCCTTAAGTTAAAAGAAGTTAGTCTGATGTTGCACCAGTCCGTTTAAAACTGCGCTTCTTGGTACGATTTGGAACTTGTCAAGCTTCAAAGTGCGTATTTTAAATACAGCTTTAACAACGGGTTTTTTTTTATTTAAACCTTTATTTTACCAGGCAAAGCATTAAGATTAAGAACAAATTCTTATTTACAATGCCAGCCTGGCAAGTGCCCGAGGGCACTTGATAGACAACGTAAAACAAAGACAATGAACAAATGCCCCTTTGATTTAGTGCGTTGTCAGATTTTATCGCCATCAACTTTTAGACTTTATAAAAATAATAAACACACTGAAGACTGTGCGACCTCACGTTCATACAAATACAGGGTATACATATAACTTGGATTATTTGTGTTTTCGTCTACGAATAATAAGGGTCGCGTTGCCTCGCGTTCGCCAAACAAGACTTTGTTTACGGTGTCATATACTAAGAGACACGTTGTGGCCACCTCACCTTCAGATCCTTATCGCTCACAGGGTGTAGACGTCTCCAGACTTTCATATCTTTGCATTGTTATGCGGCAACCAAGCTCAGGACACAGAAACAGACGCTTAAAAAAACGACCTGTCTACACAGCAGGATGCCGTGAATGAGGGCACGAAACAGCGGTTCCGGTCTTCCTTTTGTCTTAAGTGCAGCATTTCAGCAAGAACATTATAAGTCCAAGCACTGTGAACTGCATGTTGGCCATAAAAACCGATTAATGTGTGATTTAAGCAGATTTACTTTCTTGCACAAACACACACTGCTGTGACTACATCTGTAGACCCCCCGCCCCCTCCTTTGGGTGTGGTGGATGGTCCATATGAAAATCATGTGACTTCTGGCAGGGAACCAGGAGGTTCATTCATGAAGTCTTTGTACGAACGAAAAAGATGAAAAATATGTGTGTGTGTACATTTATATGAAGATTTGGGGATCTATAAAGAAGCACTTACCCTGAAAAAGTTCACACATTTACGAATCTTCCAGAACAGTCGTACGAATGTTTTGAAGGAAACACAAAAAAGTGACATCTGGAGTTCAGGTGGAAATGTCTGTCTAAGTTGCATCTACAGTTGGTTTTAACACTGGGTGAAATGCACGTTAATAAATACAGAAACATTCTTATTGGGCCATTATCTGATATACAACTAATATTCCGCATTTGTTTTGAGCGAATCAATATATGAACTGGTGAAAAAGAAGACATGATACTTACCAATATATTTGTTGCTTGTAATCCATGTTACATGTGTGTTTAATTAAAAATCAAAGTAGGCACCTTCAGCCTCGGGTGTCAGTCACATCAATGGATGCAGACAAATACAATGGGAGTGAGTCTTCAGAGATCACTATGATTATTTTCATATTGATGATTCGTGGCTTGTCAGCCATTTCAGGTCGCCAAGGGCCCTTGAGCATCCCCTATTATGGAATCAATTTTGGATTTCTGGGGAAAGGAACATACCAAGAGGAAGATGGTGGTGCTGTCGTTCGGCAACCAGAGGGTTGCAGGTTCGAGCCCTGATTCCTCCTTGAGCACTGAACCCCAAATTGCTCCCGGTGTGCAGGTTGGTGCCTTGCATGTCAGCCTCCTCCACCAGTGTGTAGATGGGTGAATGTGAGGCATGTATTGTAAGTGCTTTGAGTACTCGTAGGAGTAGAAAAGCACTATATAAATGCAGTCCATTTACCAAGGGGCACTGGCTGACAGATCAGGGGTGGACCAGCCCTCACTGAGCTCCATCATTCCTCAAGTAGTGGCTGGCATAAGCCACCTGTCATGACCATATATTAAGTTTACCTGTGGCATGGATGTACAGGCAAACACTAAAATGCAATTTTCCTCCTATCCTACTCTTATCGATGGCATTGGCTGGACACACAATGCAATAAAAGCACCATCAGAGAATAAAGCTGCCTTTGCGAACAGAAATCCCTGCACGATGATTTGTAAGTTGAACCTACACATACAAATAATATGAGCTGTATGCCGGAGTTTTTGTATACATAAGGTCTCCTTTGACTAATATTCTCATGTAGCACTCAGAGGAGATAGTGCTTTCCCACTTAAGCATAGGCTATTAACCCCATTTTTACACCTACATAGCGAAGAGGAATTCTCCTTCAGTGGTGTACACAGAGTGCAAAGCGCACTATAGAATGTCTGACGGTGACGGTGTTTGGACAGGTCCGGTGTTGTTCTGTTATACCACCCAACAAAGGTGTGCAACATAATACTGTTGTACTGTATCCTACACAACATCACCCACCGACACAACCTGCCCCTAATTGTGGAAGTGAATAATATCGTTGCTGAGTCTCTGCCTGAACCGGCTGACCTCTCCACTGTGAGACTGAGGGATAGTGTGTACAGAAAAATGTAACCCAGGAACTATTTTAATACAGCGCACATTTTGTCCAAAGCCCCTTTGATTTCCTCCAGGTGTGCATTCATGGTCCAGAGTTCTTCACTAGTCTGCCTTTTCTATTGGTCCATCACCGTGTCTGTCAGCATTCACCCTCGCTTGGTGGATGTGTCTCGTGGGATCGGAGCTGGGCGGCTGGATGGTGCCCTGCTTCAGCTGACATCACGCTTAGACATCTCGGTCACTGCATATAATAATAAAACTATTTTCATTAAGTTCAATTCAGTTTTATCTGTATAATGCATTTTCACAACATTACATTGTCTCAAAGTGCTTTACATTATACCTGCCGCATAGTCTCCAGTGAGCAAGCCAGAGGCGACAGTGGCAATGAAAAACTCCCTAGAAGGAAGAAACCTTGGAAGGAACCAGACTGAAAGGGGGAGCCCATCCTCCTGGGGCCAGCAGAGGAAGTCATGATTGTATTTCTCTGGGGGACTTTACCTGACTCCGTTGTGTCTGTGTCTGTGTCCCCTGCCACATCCGTATCTCCACGAGGGATGATTCCCAACAGGGACGTCTCTCCAATTATTTCACCCAATTGGCCATCCAAATCAGAGAGAGCCCCCGCCAAGGCACCCCCACCAGTGGCCGACACACTGCGCTGGTGTGCAGCAATATGCATTTTTGCCTCCAATCTGATGGTCTGTTTAATTCTTTTTTATTTCTAACATTGCCTGGCTTGTGGAGCTGACCAGATTAACAGCAGCATTTGCATGCTGCCAATCCACAGTGTTTTTTTTGTTTGTTGCACCGGCAGAAGGCTACCAAATAGAAGGGTTTGGCGTTCCTCTATCTTGGTCAATGAAGTCTGCACTTCACAGTCGGGGAAGTTTAAGTTCTTCTGTCTGGCAGCTGCCTCCACTGTTGCAGACATAGCGTCGCAAACGTAGAATATGCACATATATATATATACACGTGGCTAATTTGCAATGCTACTTTAGGGTAATTAGTGGGTTTGAATGCGGCAGTCTCTATATATCTTAATGGAATAGAACAGAATAGCGCTGGGCCATTGCATGTGAGCAGGCCGCCATCTTTGTATTAAAAAAAAGTCTCTTAAGCACGTGTGAATGTTTCTACGAAACATGGGACTTATAACCTGTACAATGCGTGTCATGGTTTACAGAAGGTTTTATGAAACTGAGTTTTACTGTTCATACGATCATCATTTTCCTCTTGCTCAAGAATTTGCGAACATTTTTTATAAATGACCCCCCAGGGACATGTCGGGGCATTAGTGAGCGCTTGCTGGGGCAGTAGCTCAGGACCCTGATCTGTAGAGGACCCTAAAATGTTCTTAATGGACTTTTTTTTAGGTAGATATTTTATACTTGCAGCACTGCAAGCACCTAAGACTACATCCACTGCTATGCTGTCCCTTAAAAACACAGAAATTATTCTCCATTTTCGCCTTCCATCCACACTACCCTAGAGTTTTAAGTTCCCACAAACCTAGACCTTTGTAAACACTCCCACAGCCACATACTTCTGAAAAGTACATATTAGAGTTGCAGTGTGGATGAGTGAAAACACAAACCAAGCACCCTAATTGGTCTGTACTCATCATGTGGCCCTTCCCTGATTTGATCCCACCATTTACAACCTCTCATTGTGTGGTTGGTCACCTGGAGTGTTTCTCAATATGTGTACTTGTGTTCTCCTGTATACATTTTTCATCATCTTCTATTGCCGAAGACCAGTTCCAACACTATTAAGAAAAGTACAGAGGACAGTAAAAATCCCTAGATAATGTTGCCCTAGCTCAAATACCAGGGATGTACTGGTTGCATCCTCATGTAACCAGAACAATCCCATGATTTACTGTGCCCCAAGTTCTTTCTTGGGAGGCAAATTAGCAAGACCAGTCTTACCAAGACCTCAAGTACGATCTTTGCATTCTTGGTATTGAGGAATAGCCTTGGTCATCCTACACGGAAGTAAACAGTGTTACGGTGGGGCATTACACAGGCAGAAAAAGTGACGATCCACTGATAGCTCAGAGACAAAGGCGTTTATTAGACAAACGTAACACAACAGGGAAGGGACAAAATAAAATGACCATGACGGGTCAAAAGGTAAACGGAGAAAAACAAGTTAACATTAAAAGAAACCTTAGAATAACACAACTGGGGTCAGAGCAAGGCAAGTACACAAGTAAGCAAGTAAACAACCATGCAGTAACATGACACAATACACAGAGTAATAATCACGCAGTAACAAGACACAATACACAGAGTAATAATCACGCAGTAACATGACACAATACACAGAGTAATAATCACGCAGTAACAAGACACAATACACAGAGTAATAATCACGCAGTAACATGACACAATACACAGAGTAATAATCACGCAGTAACAAGACACAAT